TTCTTGCAAATTTTAAGTTAAAAAACGTTTTAGAAGAAATATAGAAAAAAGTCATTCTTTCTTTGCCATCTTGCCCACTTCAATATCCGCCATAGTATTGAGGCTATAATTTCCAGAATTCTTAAGCCAGCATTAGCCTAGCCAGATGTATTGCCTTCAATGACCTCTGATTCTCTCCAAATCTCAATCACTTTCCAAAGCTCAATCACTCTTCAGATGTATAGACTTTAACTTCCGGATCTCCTTTGGCAGCATGATCATTGCTAAAAATTCTGGTAGTTCAAATCAATATATTTGGAAAATACCAAGGTCAGGGAAGGCTTTTATTTATGTATTTATTTATTTTATTTATTTGATTTGTCAAACGCTTACAGGATAATAGGTATAAGGATAAACATAGTTATGAATACAAGAAATGAGTACATATAAGGAAAATAAAAGAAACAATAGGACAGGGACAGTAGGCACTTCAGTGCGCTTATGCACGCCCCCTACAGACCTCTTAGGAAAGGGGTGAGGTCAATAGTAGACAGTCTAAGGTTAAAGTTTTTGGGGTTTGGGGAAGAAACCACAGAGTCAGGTAGAGTATTCCAGACATTGACCACTCTGTTGCTGAAGTCATATTTCCTGCAATCAAGTTTGGTGCGGTTAACCTTGAGTTTGTATCTATTGTTTGCTCTTGTATTGTTATGGTTGAAGCTGAAGCATTCGTTGACCAGTAGGACATTGCAATGTATGTTTTTATATACTGTACTTAGATCGGACCAAAGATGGCGTAGTTCTAGGTTTTCTAGATATAGAAAGAAAATATTCTTTCTCAGAATATTTTGGAATTCCACCTCAGACATCAATATCTCTTGACTTCATTATATCATATTACTCAGAATAAAGTTTGAGCCATAAAACTTATTTAAAAAATTATAAAAGTATCTTTCATCCTTATATATATATATATATATATATATATATATAACTCCAAGTCAATCACACTTCTGTGAAATCAAACTGTCCACTTAGGTAGCAACACTGATTGACAATCAATTTCACATGCTGTTGTGCAAATGGAATAGACAAGAGGTGGAAAGCATAGGCAGTTAGCAAGACATCCCCAATAAAGGAGTGGTTCTGCAGGTGGTGACCACAGACCACTTCTCAGTTCCTATGCTTTCTGGCTGATGGTTTGGTCACTTTTGAATGCTGGCGGTGCTTTCACTCTAGTGGTAGCATGAGACAGAAAACCCACACAAGTGGCTCAGGTAGTGCAGCTCATCCAGGATGGCACATCAATGCGAGCTGTGGCAAGAAGGTTTGCTGTGTCTATCAGCATAGTGTCCAGAGCATGAAGGCACTACCAGGAGACAGGCCAGTACATCAGGAGACATGGAGGAGGCCGTAGGAGGGCAACAACCCAGCATCAGGACCGCTACCTCCGCCTTTGTGCAAGGAGGGACAGGAAGAGCACTGCCAAAGCCCTGCAAAATGACCTCCAGCAGGCCACAAATATGCATGTGGCTGCTCAAACGGTCAGAAACAGACTCCATGAGGGTGGTATGAGGGCCCGACATCCACAGGTGGGGGTTGTGCTTACAGCCCAACACCGTGCAGGACGTTTGGCATTTGCCAGAGAACACCAAGATTGGCAAATTCGCCACTGGCGCCCTGTGCTCTTCACAGATGAAAACAGGTTCACACTAAGCACATGTGACAGACGTGACAAGGTCTGGAGACGCCGTGGAGAACGTTCTTCTGCCTGCAACATCCTCCAGCATGACCGGTTTGGCAGTGGGTCAGTAATAGTGTGGGGTGGCATTTCTTTAGGGGGCTGCACAGCCCTCCATGTGCTCGCCAGAGGTAGCCTGACTGCCATTAGGTACCGAGATGAGATCCTCAGACCCCTTATGAGACCATATGCTGGTGCAGTTGGGTTCCTCCTAATGCAAGACAATGCTAGACCTCATGTGGCTGGAGTGTGTCAGCAGTTCCTGCAAAATGAAGGCATTGATGCTATGGACTGGCCCGCCCGTTCCCCAGACCTGAATCCAATTGACCACATCTGGGACATCATGTCTCGCTCCATCCACCAATGCCACAGACTGTCCAGGAGTTGGGGGATGCTTTAGTCCAGGTGTGGGAGGAGATCCCTCAGGAGACCATCCGCCACCTCATCAGGAGCATGCCCAGGCATTGTAGGGAGGTCATACAGGCACGTGGAGGCCACACACACTACTGAGGCTCATTTTGACTTGTTTTAAGGACATTACATCAAAGTTGGATCAGCCTGTAGTGTTTTTTTCCACTTTAATTTTGAGTGTAACTCCAAATCCAGACCTTCGTGGGTTGCTAAATTTGATTTCCATTGATAATTTTTGTGTGATTTTGTTGTCAGCACATTCAACTATGGAATGAACAAAGTATTTAATAAGAATATTTCATTCATTCAGATCTAGGATGTCTTATTTTTGTGTTCCCTTTATTTTTTTGAGCAGTGTGTGTGTGTGTGTGTGTGTGTGTGTGTGTGTGTGTGTGTGTGTG